CTTAATAGGTCTCAAGGAGCTTTCTATTTTAATTCAGAAACAGCAAAGAACAGGTAAGTAAGTATATATCGTCTTCTGGTCCCCAGGGCCCCAAATTCCACCTACTCAACCTACAAAAACATTCTTAAAATTTCAGATCAATCATAATTTAGAAGTTGGTTCAAAATTAAGATTACATTTAAGAATTCTCCACAATTCAACTACAACAACATGCATTTATATAGGTCCCTCCATGCAGGTAGCATCTCAGAGCACTTGAATTCTACATGATCTTGCATATTAATGCATAAATGGTCTTTTTAAAATTAAATGTCCTGTAATTTGATCTTTCTTGATCATCCACGATAGTGAATTTACAAGGATCTGAATCCATCTTACTTAGTCTCAGACCCACTGTACACCAACCTATCCTGCAAATTTCTCAGTTCTATTCCAAGTACAGGTGGAACAATAGATATTTGATGTGCACTGTACAGAAAATACCCCATACTCTTTGAAAATGAATGCTCAAACCAGGAGGGCATAATTTCAGAACCTTTTAAAAATAAGGAAAACATCTGATGCACTTGGTGAAATGTACCAACCTAAAGTGGTTTTAATTCAGTTTAGCACTAATGGCCAAAGCTCACACGACTACTTAAGATATACTGTTAATGCTCTTGTCAGAGGTGCACTCAGAGTTAGAGGATTAGAAACACTGTGCTCTTCTACTAAAGATTCATTTAAAGAAAATTAAACATTATTGAAATAAACAAAATTGCTAGATGGAATGCAATAAAGCACTAAAACAGGGCAAAGCTGTGGCTGTGTGTGTGTGTGTGGTGGGTGGGAAATGTTACACAGTTTAGGATGAGAGTATGTACCACAACTCTGAAATATGAATTTCAATCTTTAAAAAAGGTCAAGTGAATGATCTTGGGAATTATAGTCATTTACTTGACAATAGTGGGAAAGCATTGAAATACCATTCCACACAAAGCAATTCATCTACATTTAAAAAGTAAACAAAATCCTTAGAATGCATCTAAATACTTTCTTTGAGAATGAACCTTTGTGAAAAATGGTTCAAGTGGTGGAAATTTATGCTTTCTCAACTTTAAGAAAAGTTCAGTCCCTTATAGGAGCTATAACTAAATGTAAAGCTCGTGGGAAATAAGATGGGAGCTATAAATTGGATTATTAATTGGCTAGATAATAGGAAACAGGATAGTTATCCATGATAATATAGTTCTAATTAAGTAACTGGGACTTGGAAAAGCCCCCATAGATTAATCCTGGGATTCTCAGTTCAAAATATTAATTTTCATGACAAGGGTATTCTAAGCAGAATATCTGTACTTACAAAAGGCTTGCTGCAAAGGACCTTGTTCTGATAATATTCAGTCGCTTAGCAACTAGGCAGTGAATGGCAAATGACAATATTGAGAATAACCAGGATCTGAGAATAATTCTTGATGCTTAATTCCAATAAAAGTTTTCTTTGTCCAACAGCACGTATAAGAAATCAATTTAGTTCATCTCAACTTCAACATTAGACATAGCTGTTGGAATAAATATAATTCAAATACACATTATATATATATATATATATATAGGAACAGGAGTAGACCATTCAGCCCCTCGAGCCTGTCCCACCATTCTATTAGATCACGGCTGATCTGTACCTCAACTCCAAAAAAAAAATGCATAATCAGTCATTTGGAGTCCCAAAGATCAGGATGCGTGGCACTTCAATAATAACAATCTTCATCATTGATATAGCATCTTATCATGACTTTTTGAGGCAGCTCAAAGCGCTTCACAGAATTTACTGTAAAGTGAATTGACTGAATATTGACTGAAACGCAGCAGCCAATTGCGCACAGCAGCGTCCCACAAACAGACGTGGATTGAGTGACCAAAGTATTTTTATTAGGGATTACCCCTGGAAAAGCTTGCTTACTTTTAGGTAAAGAGGAATGTGGAGCAAGGAAACTTGCCCAACCATTTGGAACACACAGCAGGCCCAAGGTTGCTGAGCAGAGGGTGTGCGAGGTTGAGTGTGGAGGGGGAATCAGCGAAATAGGGAGGTGCTGGTGTTTTAAGGGTGCAGTCAATCCATTTGAGAAACTGGGCCAGGTGAGGATGGAAGCAACAGTTTTGGATTAGCTGGACCTTGAAGATGGTGAAACTGGGGAGACCAGCAAAGAGTACATTGGGAAAGTAGAAGGGGGAGGCAACAAAAAAAAGTGGCTCAGGGTTTCAGCAGCGCTTGGTGTGCAATGCTGTAGAGGTGAAAAAAGGGAAGAGAAGGATGGCCTGTTTTGTCCATGTTAAGCTGCAGGAAATTAATGCTCAATCAAGGCCTTGATATATTGACAGGCAGAGCATCAGTGGACTAGGATTTGAGACAAAATGGAAACGTAGATTTGGGTGTCATTCACATACGCCTGGAAATTCACAACATATCTGTGGACAACAGCACTAAAAGGAAGAATACTGTGCAGTACTCTAGTTATGCATCTACTTAATGAGGTTCCTGAAGACTAAATAAGAGTTGCAAAACACTCCATTCCTCTTTAAATGGAAAGTCCAAAGTGAGTAAAATGGCAGGATATACAAGATAAAAATGATGGCTGATGATATAGTTGATTCTGAAAGATCAGGTCAAAGATTATAACACTTTAAAATGGAAACATACCGAGTAATTGCATTCAGTACATACGCGAAGGCCGGTATTATAGATTCAAAGAGAGTGCAAGAACATAGAAACAAGAATAGGCCATTCAGCTGCTCGAGTCTGTTCTGCCATTCTATAAGATCATGGCTGACCTGTACCTCAACTCCAATTACTGACTCCGTATCCCTTGATACCCTGATCTAACATCTCCAAAGAGCTCTACAGAGATTCAGAAAAGAGTAAAAAGAATGGTTCCAGGATTTAGGGCTCCATATTATATACTAAAAGAGCTAAACTTAGTAATTAAGAAAATTAAAAAGGGATACAATTCAGGTAGTTTTTTTTTATACACACAGATACACAGAAAAATACAAATTTACAGCACAGGATAAGTTCAATAAGTCTATTGTGTCCGTTGGCTTTCATAGCAATCCATTCAGTCCCATTTACTGCCTTTCCCTATACCCCTGCAAATCATTCCTTTTTAGCTATCTATAGAGTTCCGTCCCTTTTTGAAAGCTAATATGGATATGGATCCCGTCTCAGGCACTGCACCAAGCAAGGCATTCCACATCCTAACAAAAACTTACCTCTTCTTTTGCTCCCTTGCTATCTTAAATACCCTCTAGTCACTAAATCACAAGAAACAATTGCTTTGTATCCACTCTATCGAAACCCCTCATTATTTTAAAGACCTCTACCAATCTCTTGTCAATCTTCTCTATTCTAATGTACAAATGGTAGCAGAAAGTACAAATTAACAACCCTCAAAAGACAATGGAAATTAGAAAACAAAAGTCCCCTTACTCTGTGTAGTGGACATGAAACTGGATGTGAGCAGGAGTTACTCCTATACTTCAATCCCTTTAAAAAATGAAGCTAAATGCAGTTGGCATTGGGGATCAACGATTTTATGGGGATTAGCACTAATAGAGATGATCAAATTACTTCATGGAATAATAGTTTTCAAGCTCTGGAAACGTGATTGGTTAAAAAGTACTTCAACATTGAATATCAGTTGTAAGATTAGACAAATAATCTGAATCTTATCTCAAGAATGGTCAGAAGGCGGGGGAGACAAACGTTTGCAGAATTTTCACTCATAAAAATTATACAAGCTGAATAGAATACAACAGATCTAATTGCTCATAAGCTGCGAAAAGGAACAGATTTGATGGCTAGTTTGTCATTCCAACATTCTTAAGACCGGATCTACCCACAAACCAGATTTGTGCCAGGTTTGGTACATGTACAAAACAATGAACCTCTTCCTTCATTTTTTTTAATAAAAAATTTAATTTTCCTTTTATAATGCAGAGAATTAACTTTCCAGAGATAACTTTTTTTCAAGTACAATAAGGCAGCTAAAATGCTGAACATATAAAAAATGTTAAAAACACAAGTAGAATTTCTTTGGAATCCAAAAATCACTCGGAAAATATTTAATATACAACACCATTATTTAAGTAACAAATAAATAAAATATTAATTCATTATGTTTAGGCCACAGGAAATGCTGCAGTAGTGTCCGATACATTTGCCCAAATTCATCCTATACTGTCACCATTTTAGCCGCACAATATGATTAGACCTATTATGCCTACAAGTACCAGCATTACTAACAATCAGCGCTGAGGCAATTATTTTATATAATTCTTTAATACATTTGATATTTTACAACTAAGTAAAATAAACACTACAGCAATTTTCTTCAAAATTTGTACAAAGTTTCTTACAGAACAGATAACCAGTGGGCTGAAAGTAAGAATCTAAAATGAACCACACTGATGTTTTCTTTGTAAATATCTACAAAATCCAGTTGGTCTTTTAACATTTTTCTAAAATTCTCCTGCATGTATAAAAATAAATTAATAAAACAATACTCTTCCAGTCAACTGCACAAATGCTAATTAGAAATATAACAAACCAAAATATTGATGTTTTATAGTTCAATTTTTCCCACAATTAATGAAACTCACAAAAGCATATTTACAGATAAGAGGTACAAACTGTGCAACATTCAACCTTGAGACAAATCACAATTCCAAACACTCTTCCAGATAGATACTTGGAAGGTGTTGGGTCTCTAGATTGTTTTTATTGAACACACTGTCTTGGCTAGGTATAGAGCTAGGAATTCCTTCCAAGGAGGAAGATGATGATGTGTTACTGGAAATTCCTGCTGCTGTGACAGAAATTGTGATAGAGTGCATACTCAGCTGTCCAGAGCCATTTCAGCACAAAGGACCTAGCAACAGGCACTTGGTTTAGGCTGACAGCCACCACATCTCTCAAAGGAATCCTTCCCAGTGGCAGACTAATCCATTTCTTCCACTTTATAGATTGATCTGGTCCCCAGCAGCCAAAAATCTCAGAAGCCTGCTGCACCACGACTGAATATCCATGCTAACAGTTGTCTTGGAAGCATACTACATTCACAGCAAAGGAACAAGGATACCATATAAACTGCATGCAATGCTCACCCCGGTAGATGCAAATTCCAAATTAATTTTTGTCACAAATTAAAGTTTATCACAACTGCGAAACCATAACCAATACTTACCATCCTTGTACAATTGAAATTTCTGTCATTCAAAGACTTAAATTTTTGCTTAAAAATTATATTATCGGCATTAAAAAAGTTCAAGAGACAAGCACAAAAACTGAATGGTTCAAACTTATTTGATTAATTTGAAAATAAATTCATTTCCTCAATGCTTGGTATCACGTCATGAACTAGTTTTATATTAGTGCAATCAAGTTAGAAGATGACAACACTAGTCAACCAAATAATCTCAATAGAATTGGAATGTCTTATGAAGAGTGCTCATTATTTGGGTTGTATTATTGTTCATACATGATGTCTACCAGTGAGTTTGCCAAAGTCCTTTAGCAACTTCTTCACACTAAGATTCATCCACTCTGCAGCTGGCAACACCGTTATGACAACGCTATAGACACATTCCGGAATCTAAAAGTCCTGTGTCAACTTTTTTCCTGTGTGCCAGGGCCACCTTTGTCATTAAGCCTCTGTGAATGAAAGGATAAGATAGAAAGTTATTCACTTCATAACCCAGATGAATTTAAATATCAATGTTTTATCTATTGACTGGTTTCCTGTACACTGTAAGTCGTATAATTACTTTAAAATACTTAAAAGTCAACAAAAAAAATTGATAGCTATCCAAATTAAAGTGCAAAAGAATGTTGTATATCTGCATACTGACTATATGTGTGTTGCCTCATGTGGTAGTGCGATGCTGGTACAAACATTTTTTTTAAAGTTACACCTTTGAGTATGGTTGTAGGATGTGATTTTCCCCCCCAACACAGAGTGACTGAATTAACAGCTCAGGGGGACTGGCACTGTAGCCAATTCGTATTTTGGGTGATGACCCATTTCCACACTGTTTCCATATCCACAATGGAGACAGTTCAATTAGTGTAGCAGGCTTGCTAGGTTGTCCATTAGCAGCTCCTGAGCTTGTCCATGCTTAGGGCTTAGGTATACACAGCAAAGTGAGCCAAGCATGCTGCATTATGTCATCTTAGAAATAAAATAACTTTGACAGCTGATTTTGACAGCTTTGAACATCAACTTGGAAAATAAAACCTTTCAGTATGAACTGATGTTGAGAAACAGAAACTTACTGCAACTTTTGGTGTGGTAGCTTCACTGTGAATGGCTATGTAAGGGTTAGGAGGAGCTGAATGAATTGGCTGAGCCTGGGTATTTGCCAGCAGGTTATTCAGAGGAATCTGTGCAGTTCCCGGGATTTGTAGCTGCTGTAGCTCATGCTGGTGTTGGTGGTGCTGTTGCTGCATCAACTGATAAAACAGAGCCTGATGCTGTTCCTGGATTTAATGACAAAAATGTAAATATGAATTACACATTAATGAGTTCTCAGAACTTACATCATAAGGCTCTCATAATTATATTAGTTATGAATGCAGTGGAAAATTAATAACAGGTGTTAGTAAGATGATAAACGATGGCCAAACACTTATGTCTTTTCTGAACACCTAGCTCAGGTGACAGTAATCTTGCCTCTCATTCAGAAGGTTGTGGGTTGAAGCACCATGTTGGCACTCTGAACTCTCATAGTCTAAGCTGATATTCCAATGCAGTACTGGGGGAGTGCTGCATTGTTGGAGGTGCTGTCCTTTAGATAGATCTAAACTGAGGTACCATCTATGCCTGTTCATGTAGATGTTAAAGAACCCTTGGCTCTACTCAAGAAGAAAAGGGAGTTTCTCCCAATGTCATCATAATCCCCCAAATAAAATTGCTCACTCACTTCATGGATGTTTGTGGTCAAATTGGCTGCCCCATTCCCCTACAGAATACAGTTACCACACATTATATTAAATCCTGTGAATTACTTTTGAGACATCCTTCTAATGTGAAAGTCACCATATCAAATGGAAGGAATATTATTAGCATAGCATTGATCTTACTGGGGTGAGCTGCTGAGCTGGTAATAATTGTTGAAGCTGTTGCTGTTGTTGGTGAAGTAAGAGTTGCCTTTGCTGTTCAGAAAGCAAGCCCAGTCCAGGAAGGCTACAAAGCAAACAGAAAAGATGCCAACATAATGCATATGAAACATCCACATTTCAATAAGTTAAATGTTCTGGTTCACAGGTTTTGTGGGTTTTCAAAACAGATTGAATGCAAGGATATTGAAAAAAGATCAGGGAAAAGGAAAACTAATACAACAACTTGCATACATAATAGCGATCTTCACGAAGGGTAGTGTCCTGGAGCACTCAATAATGGCGGAGTCTGACGCTAAGCCAGGGGGAGAGGGAGGTGATGGTAAGCACGAACAAAAAGGAAGGTCTTTAGTTAGGATTTGAAGGTGGAGGGGTAAGCCGGAGGGATTGAGGGAGAGTACCAGAGTTGCGGGGCTTAGTGGCTGAAGGCACTGCCACCGATGTTGGAATGGAGGGGACGAGGGACAAACAGGAAGCCAGCCGAGTGGAGGCAGCGGGTGGTAGAGTGAAGTGGGGGAAAGCAGATTGGATAGGTAGGGAGGTGCCAGGCTTGAAGGGATTTGAAAACGAGTGAGAGGATCTTGAAATCAATCCATTCGGTAATTGGGAGCCAGTGGAGTCTGGCAAGGACCGGTGTGAATGGGGGTACAATACAATGCAAATTTACATTTGTAAAGCGCCTTTCACATTGGAAGGATGTCCTAAGGTGCTGAACAGTCAGGGATTGGGCGGGTGGGGGGGTGGTTGGGATCAGAAGGTAGGGGGCTAGCCGAAGGCACGGTCGAAAAGGAGGGTCTTGAGGTGTGCCTTGAAGCAGGCAAGGGAAAGAGCAAGGCGAAGGGAATGTGGGATGGGGTTCCAGAGGGTGGGGACAGAGAGGCTGAAGGCCCGAGGCGGGGGACATGGAGCAGGCCAGAGTGTGCTAAGCGGAGGGTGTGGATAGGTTGATAAGGGGTGAGCAGGTCAGAGAGGTAGGAGGGGGCAAGGCAATGGAGGGCCTTGAAGGTGAAGATGAGAATTTTGAACTCGATCCTCTGAGGAATGGGGAGCCAGTGGAGCCAGACGAGGGTGGGTGTGATGGGGTCACGGAGCCTGGTGCAAGAGAGGACACAAGCTGCAGAGTTCTGGATGATCTTCAGGGTTTTGGCAGCCTGAGGGGTGAGGCAATGGAGGAGTTGGGCAATGTTGCAGAGATGGGGGAAGGCAGAGCAGGTCGTGGCACGGGTGTGGGGACAAAGGACAGTTGAGGGTCGAACAAAATGCCAAGGTTCCTGACTGGCTTGGTGAGGTGGAGTGTACATCCTTGGGTGCTGATGCTGCCAGTGCCTGGTGTGAAGGCGCTGGCATGAGCCAGTCAGGAGAGCCTCGGTCTTGCTGACGTTCAACTGAAGAAAGTTGGTTCTCATCCAGGATTATTATTATTATTATTATTGATGTTTGACCGGCAGTCTGTTAGGAGATCACTGGCCCTGGGATTGAGGGTGGAGGCAGAGAGATAGAGTTGGGTGTCATCCGCGTATATGTGGAGGTTGACCCCATGTCTGTGGATGATGTCACCAAGATGGAGAATGTAGAGGTTGAAGAGGAGAGGACTGAGGACAGAGCCCTGAGGAACACTGGGGGAAGGAAAAAAGCTGGTGATCGAACGCGACGCCTAAGTTGGGCACGGGGAGATTGAGGAGTTCAGGCCACAGGATAGAAGACGTTGACAGGCGCCAAAGAGTATAGCTTCTGTCTTGCCGACATTCAGCTGCAAAATAACATGGTAGAGCAGGTTTGATTTACCAAGTCAACTCTTGTTCCATTTTTTTTATAGGACTAGATTAATATATTTCAAGACTTTCACCCTGTGGGGTATAAGTTAGCAGTGTTCCTTAGGTTAAGGGTATAAATTAGCAGCGCTCCTTATGTGCCTTATAGCATGAAAGCCGCTACGCAAATGTTGTTAATGTTGTAAACTATCACCCACAATAGAAGTAGGAGCACCCCGTCAGGCAAGTGGTTTCTTCTCAGCATCCAGTACTCAGTATTGTTGGATCTGAGGCGGATGATTTGCAACTTTTAGGGTGTAGAAAGACCTCCGGTTTAGGGGGGGGGATTAATGTTTATTTTTCAGCTTTGATCTGCAAACTCCCTAGCTAAACATTTATGTTTTATAACCTCAGGCCCACCTGATCAGAAAGACGTCCCATTCAATGCCTTGGGATGTTCTCCCGACATGAAAGGTTCTATACAACTGTAATTTATTGTTGTTGTTGTTAAGAACACGGTTTTTGCCCTTCCTTGGCTGATCATGCTGCCAAATAAGAATTCACCTAGCCAGAATAACTTGAGGCCTCTTTACCGGCTGAAAATTGCATTNAAAAAATTGCACGTTTCGGATTTTAAAAATGGCAGTTTCTGGAGCTGCCGGGAGCACGGAGGGGTACACTGCCACCTGGTGGGTAATAGTTTACCCGGCATTACTTAACACCTCAAAATGTACTCCTCCAAAAGCAGAGCATTCTCGAGTTATACTTTTGGGGGTGCTGAAATCGTTACATTGTTAACATTATTTATTGAACAACAAATTACATTTATATACTGCCTTCATGGTCGGAAGGATACCCCAAGGCGTTGGACGGTCGAGGGTTTGCACCCAAGCTGAGGTTTGAAATCAAAGAGGTGGAAGGAAGGTATTGAGATGGGCCTCGAAGGAGACAGCAAAGGGGGTGAGGCAGAGGGATTCTGGGATGGAGTTCTAGAGGGTAAGGGCAGAAAAGCTGAAGGTGGGCAGGGTACATGGTGCAGGTTAGTGTCTACCGAGCGGAGGGGGCAGACACAGTGATCATTGGTTGCAGCGATAGGGAGGAGCAAGGCCGTGAAAGGCTTTAAAATGAGGACGATGATTTTAAACTTGAATTTGCAACTGTATAGGGCCCTGGTGAGACCACACCTGGAATACTGTGTGCAGTTTTGGTCTCCTTATTTAAGGAAGGACGTACTTGGCTTGGAGGGGGTGCAGCATAGATTTACTAGGTTAGTACCAGGGATGAAGGAGATGAGTTATGAGGATAGGCTGACCAATTTGGGCCTATATTCTCTAGAATATAGAAGAATTAGAGGGGATCGTATAGAAACCTATAAGATCATCAAAGGGCGTGATAGAGTAAATAGTGGGAGATTGTTTCCCCTGGTTGGAGAAACTAAAACCAGGGGTCACAACCTTAAAATCAGAGGCCAGCCCTTTTGCACTGAGTTGAGGAAGAACTTCTTCACTCAAAGGGTCGTGAATGTATGGAACTCACTACCCCAAAGGGCTGTTGCCACTCAGTGGTTGAACATATTCAAGACTGAGATAGATAGATTTCTTATTGCAAAACGGATTAAGGGATATGGGGATAAGGCAGGGTTAGGTTATTAGCTGGAGTTAGATTAGAAGATCAGCCATGATTGAATGGTGGGGCAGGCTCAAAGGGCCAAATGGCCTACTCTTGCTCCTACATGTTATGTTATGAATTTCTGGAGGATGGGGAGCCAGGCGAAGGTGGGGTCAGTTGACAGAGCTTGGTGTGGGAGAGGACACAAGCTGCGAGGTTCTGAATAATCTGCAGCTCGTGGAGGGAACAGTTTGGAAGAACATTGAGCAGAGTTACCGTAGTTGACTCTAGGCCTGATAAATGCATGAATGAGGGTCTCGGCGGCCTGACAGGAGAGGTAATGACGGAGTCAGGCAATGTTGCCGAGGTGGAGAAAGGCGTATCAGGTCATGGCACAGATGTGGGATTTAAAGGACAGTTGAGGGTAGATTAGAACACCAAGGGTCCGTTTTGGATCTGTGAGATGGAGACTGCATCCGTTAATAGTGATGCCGAGGTGAAGAGGTATTGACAGAAGCCATTTAACTGGAGAAAGTTAGCTTTCATCCAGGCCTTGATGTCCAACAGAGAATCTGCCAGGACATCAGTGGTCCTGGGGTCAAGGGTGGAGGCAGAGAGATAGAGTTGTGTGTCACCGGCATACATATGGAAATTAATTCCAGTATGACATCACTGAGCATGGAAATATTAAAGAAGGGATCAAGGACAGAGCAATCCTTAATAAATTCTGCAATAATTTTTTTCCAAACAAAGCTACAAAGAATGGGGGTGAATTCTGTGCAAGATGTTTAATCAATCAATGCCAAGAAACTCAAATACAAAAGAGCTGGAGATTCAAGAACACATAGTACTTTTGTTACCAGTAAAATGAAGTAATTTCAGAAACTAATGAAAGAAGTTTAAGCCTTACCTGTTTAAGCTTGTGGACAGTGGAAGAGTCAAATTAGGTGGTACAGCTGTATGCGATAGCGTGCTTGGGGTTATTGACTCAGATGTCTGGATAACTCCATTCAATGCACCTACAATTCCATTTACTGCCATCTGGTTTCCTGATAGGGTTCCCATTAACCCACCAACTGAAGACATTGTGGGGATTGTGGAAGTCACAGTCTGCAAACCACTAGCTAGTGCTCCAGTTACACTGTTGATCTTCTGAACTGCTATGAGGCCTGATCCCTGCTGAGCTGGACTTTGCCCAATTGGGGTTGGACTGGCAAGAGATGAACTGCTTGTACTTTGGCCACTTGAAGTTAACTCCTAAAATGAGAAAACTAATTTTATTAATTGATCATTAGAGTAAATTAGTGAGCAAAAGCTGCAACAACAACTTGCATTTATATGATAATAATAATTCTTGCATTTGATATATCGTGTCTTCAAGATGTCTCAAAAGCGCTTCACAGAATACACTGTAAAGTGGATTGCCTAAATATTTGGAGGGAAAAACGCGGCAGCAAATTGCTCACAGCAGTGTCCCACAAACAGTCGTGGACTGAAGTGACCAATTTATTATTATTTTTAAGGAATTGGTACCCATGGAAAAGCGATACGCCAATTAACTAGGAACCAGGTACCTACTTACTGCTTGGTAAACAGGGACGTGCTGGGAATCGAACCCAGGTCTCTCACTTGCGAGGCGAGCGCTCTAACCACTGAGCTACAGAACTCCATATAGTGATCTTCACGTGGGACAGTGTCTTGGAGCGCTAATGATTGTGAAATTGCATATAAAAAGCATTTCAAATACTACGACTATAAATTATTAAAGAAAACTGAATATACTAATTCAGAGTTAGTAACTAGTTATCACCTGGCTGGGTACTGGAAGTGAACTTTCTGGTAGAAAGCTGTTGCTCAGATGGGAGCCTTTATTGCTGTGCAAAGAAGCTGGGTTGGGAACTGTAAGAAATTATTATAATGCGTTACATCACAGATCGTGAACAAAACAGCGTCCAATCAATTTAATATAGAACAACACTGAAAGCTTACTTCACTTACCAGCTTGTGAAGAAAATGTGTGCATTTGAGCTGCTGGGCTGACAGTTGAACTCGTGACAGGAAAGGGCACTGAAAGCTGAGCATTTAGCAGTTGGAGACGTTCCTTCTTAGCTGTCAAGTTCTTAATCTGTTCCTCTAGCCGTCGATTTTCAACCTGAAGCTGATGCAGTGATTTCAACATTCCCATAACTGCTTAGAACAAAAAACAATAAATTCCAAATTTGAATAGTCTCAGTAACTAAAAGAAAATAAACCTCACATTACACACATTCAAAAAAATATGGAAGGGGAGAGAGAGAAACCAGACTGATTTCTTATTTTAACTTTGCATTTAAATAGGTTTGAGATTTGTTTTATCTGCATATTTGAGCTGTTTTAATGAAGCAAACACAGGCCTGGCACTCTCTATTATCAGTTATTACACCCCACACCTCTGAAGTTTTCTGCCTCTATCCCTCCACCTCTCCCCCTCTCTATCTTCAAATCCCACCTTAAACCCCATCTCTCGACCGTGCCTATGATCACCTCCCTCCCCAGCTCAGCATCCAAACCTGATCTGAGACGTAATAATAATAATAATCCTTGCATTTGATATAGCGCTTTTCACGTCAGGAGGACGTCCCAAAGCGCTTCACAGAACACACTGCAAGTGAATTGACTGTATATTTGTGGGCGAACGCGGCAGCCAATTGCGCACAGCAATGTCCCACAAACAGTCGTAGATTGAAAATGACCAATTTATTATTGTTTTTGTTTTTTGGAGGGATTATTATTAGGCTGTGTGTGGAGTAAGGAAACTTGCCCAAGGTTTCGCCCTCTGCCTGGAATTGAACTCAGGTCTCTCGCTTGCAAAGCGAGTGCTCTAACCACTGAGCTACAGGACTCCACAAGTCCACATGTAATTCTACATGAAAGGCACTATATAAAAACAACTTGTAATTCTGCTGCTTATGAGGAACCCAAAATACAGAGCATTCAAATACAAATAAGATTTTTCACGTGTGGAATTCGGATATCTCTTGTGGTATCAAATGCCATACCTCAAACATCGAATATTTTCTGAAGTGGGTAAATCTATCCAATTTGTAGTAAAAAATTGTTCTGTGCAATTTTTTTCACATCTCCCTAAGTATCCGTAGAAACCTGGAGTACTAAAAACCCCATAGCTTTTATTCCACTTGGAGCACTCCAAAAATATAAACAGTTTTTTTAAAAAAGAGAAAACGTCAGTGGAGAGGGACAGAAAGTAATGGCCAAATAACAAACTGATCAGTTTAGTCAGTTAATTTTTAATGTCATATCAACAGATTATTTGGATTCCAATTGATCAGGTCAATAAATTTACTGACTGGTGCGCAACTGGAAAACAACAGGAAGGCCCCATCTCAAGCCTCAGTCTGTATGGAGTTGGATCTCAGCCAGAGGAATGATACAGATACTGCAATTAGCCTCAACGCCTCTTGACTAAGGAAGGAAATGAAAGGGGGAGAAAAATCAATTTTAAAGTGGAAGAATTTTTGATGTCAAAATTTAGTTCAGTCAACCTAAAAAACACTGACCCTCCTTGAGGAAAGCATGACCAAATTATTGCGTTGCAACCACTAGACAAATCATGTCTTTTCGCCCACAAAATAAATATATAGTCAATTCACTTTACAATATATTCTGTGAAGCGCTTTGAGACGTCTCAACGACGTGATAAGATGATATATCAAATGGAAGGATTATTGTTAATATTATTTTTATTATAATAAGAGCTGGCTTTCTTGTACTGGGATCTAAATACAATTTTAGAGAGATCAGCTATCCCACAAAATTATATGGTTAGATACTTGCAATCTGCTTTTAAAACATAAAAACATTGTGTTTTACTATTTGAGATTAAAGTAGCCATCATGATCAGGCCAAACATACAAAACTAAATATAATAATCCTTACATTTGATATAGAGCCTTAATCACATCTTCAAGACATCTCAAGGTGCTTCATTTAATAAACATACTGTAAAGTGAATGGATTGTATATTTTATGGGTGAAACTATACTCACGGATTTGGATCTTGAGCAAGGAAACCACCAAGGATTGCTTACTCCAACAAGGATTCCTAACAACTGAAGAGAATCCATGTTGTCTCCTGACTGAAATAGGTATAAGATTTGGAACTCTTTCCCTCAAGGGCTGTGGATGCTGGATCCATTCAAATTTTCAAGACTGGGGTGGATAGATTTTTGTTAGGTAAGGGTATCAAGGGATATGGAGCAAGGGTGGGTATTTGGAGTTAAGGTACAGATCAGCCATGATCTAATAGAATGGCGGAACAGGCTAGAGTAGAAGCGAAACGTTGGGGGAAGTTTCTTTACTCCACACGGCTCTGTTTACCGAGCAGTAAGTAGGAACCTGATTGTTAGTTGATTGGCGGATCATTTTTCTGGGGGTAATAATCCCTTCAAAAAAAGTCACTCAATCCACAATTGTGGGACACTGCTGTGCGCAATTGGCTGCCGTGTATCACCCACAAAATAGACAGTCAATTCACTTTACAGTAGATTCTGTGAAGCGCTTTGAGATGTCTTGAAGACGTCATAAGGAGCTATATCAAGTGCAAGGATTATTATTATTATTATAGAGGGGCTGAATGGCCTACTCCTGTTCTTATGTTACTATAAATTGTCAGTTTTTTTAATGTTTGCACCTAATGTTTATTGGAAAACAAATTGGAATCTTTTCCTAGTTGTGCCGTCCATTTTATTATTTATTTAAACTGATTTAATTTAGAAAGCAATATAACATTTATATTAACTATCAGACAATATATGGAGTGTTTACTTTATGAGTTTACTTAAATTATTCAATGCTTTACTTATTCAAAAGACTGGAGTCCTAATGGAAAATTACAATGAATGCAGAAATGTTTAGAATTAAATATTAATTTTATTTATGTCATATCCTGTCATCCTGTCGATGTATTCATTTATAAAGATTTACAAACACTGATTTAAGTATATATGTGGGCAGAAAAGATATTGAACCCAGGATCAATTAATGGGGATTTATTCCAATTTTCAAATTTAGGAAAATAAGTAATTCATAAATAAAATCACTGAAACAGTTGTTTTCAAATCCCCTATTGAATGGAAACTATTCGATAAAAGTTGAAATGTTCTGAATGTAACCTTTTTTATATGAATAAAATCTATAGCTCTCAGAATAGATGCATCAAATTACATTTCTTGCTGTAATTTATTTGCCACAGTAATTCAGATTTTTATAACAACTTGCATTTATATCACATCACATTGTACTGTAATCACAGATTGCATTAATAATAAAAAAATTCTCACTACAATAAGTGCTGGAGCCTGAAGTTGAGTAAAATCCTTTAAACTCTTCGGTTCTGACACATGTTCCTATCACTGTCACACTGCTCTTCCAGTCCCTATTTGGAATACTCGATAGACTGCTTTTTGTCTAAGTCTGCATAGAAGTTTTTGGGGGGAATTAAAAAAAAAGGAAATTGAGTTTCAGGTTTCCGTAATTCAAGTTTCAGCACTTCTATCCTGAAATACCGAGAGACAATGTCCCTGTATGCTAAGGACATCCGTCTGTGAATGTCACAGATGAGGGACCAGCATGATTTACAAAATAGCTGATCTTGTACAAAATCTAGTGTTTTGGAAGATGTTAGGCGTGAGATGGGGTTAGTTCCTATGGTATGTAATCAACATAGAGATGTAAATAATACAACAAAATTACATTTGTATAGTGCCTTTCATGTCAGGAGCTAGCCATAGCAAAAAAGCACTGCTGATCCATAAAGATATTTTGTCTATTAAGCCAGTTTTCTACCAATGTCAACTTTATTGTATGTTGCCAGGGGTTGTGTGGTCAAATCAAATCTGAAGAGGGTTAGGGCCTGCCTGGTCGTGGTATATGTTATACAGAAGAAGTAATAATATTTACACAAGTCTTGCATCCTGGTGTTGCCAGGAAGCACAGATGAAAACCATTGATTTGAACACCATTTCAAATCATATGGATATAAATTGAAGACTCAATCACTTCTCAAAACTTCACACAAAACCACATTTCAGGAAAAGAAACCTTTCAAAATCTTATTACATTGCTAATCAAAGACAATTTCATCTCCTTATCACAACAACAACAAAATCACATTTGTATGGTGCCATTCATGTCATGAGGACATCCCAAGGTGATGGACAGTCAGGGATCCGCATCCGAGCTGGTGGTTGACATTAGGAGACTTGGAGGACAAGGGGAGGAGGGTGTTTGAAGTCACGGTCAAAGAGGAGAGTCTTGAGACAGGTCTTGAAAGCAAGGGAGGGGGTGAGGCGGAGGGACTGTGGGATGAAGAGGGTGGGGTATAGAGGCCGATGGTGGGGTGGGCAGAGTGGTGGATGTGAAGCAGGCTGGAGCCCACTGAGCGAAGGTAGCGGACAGGTCGGTATGGGTTTAGGAGGTCACAGAGGTAAAGAGGAACAAGGCTGTGAAGGGCTTTAAAAATGAGGACCAAAATCATGATCTATATCCACTGAGTAATGGGCAGCTGGGGGTGATAGGATTGTGGACCCTGATGCAGGAGAGGATACAGGCTGCAGAGTTTTGGATGATCTGCAGCCTGCGGAGGGAGGAGTTGGGGAGGCCGACAAGTTTGTGTAGTCGAGTCTGGACGTGATGAATGCATGCATGAGGATCTCGGCGGTGTGGAGTGAGAGAAGGTGGCAAACCAGGCAATGTTATGGAGATGGAAAAAGGTGGAGCAGGTCATGACATAGATGAAGGGCAGTTGAGAATAACAATTCATTGGCCATCAATGATAAGAAGGAACAATTTTGAATGCATTTCAGAACATGACTACAATATATAGCTTGCAGGGAGGTAGGCATTGCAATTTAAATAGACTTAAGTACTTCTCCTTCAAGTTCGATGGAATATACATATTGAAATTTATGAATGAAGAGGAAGTAATTGACAATTTCCCAAGACATCTATTAAAGATTCAGGATTCACATCAGTTGGTGTTTAGCATTTGTTTTGGCCATCAGGATCCATTGTCAATTTCTGACTGTAATCTTGGTGGGAGGTAAGCAGGGCCTTCTTGGAGCTGTGCTGACTCCAAGGCAACATGTTTGGCAACAGAATATTGGAATCAAGTCAATCCTCTGTGGCAGTCTCGTAGCTAGGTCCCAAACCTGATGGGACCGCAGTACTCTAGGGCACTGCTGGTGACAGAACAAACAGCCTCATTGGTAGGACTTGGAAGTGCAGACCAGTTACTGAAGCCAGGGATTCTTCCCACTCAGCTTCTCATAACCCTATAAAACAAAGCCCTAATGGATACGATGGACCGAGCTGGACAAGTAGTACTTGACAATGCATCTAAACCACTGGCTAATTTAAGACTGCAAAAACAGATTCATGAAATGAGCTCTCATCTAAGATGGCATCCTAGAGTTATATTCAGTGCTTTTGAGCAAAAATTGACATTCTGAGATGCATCTGGCACATATCTGTAATACATTTCAAAGAAAGCTCCTGTTCAAATCCACTGCTGGTGGTCACCACCCGACACATTTACGACAACACTTTTTTTTTAAAAAATTAGATAAAATCTTGACTTTGGATAATAAGTACACAATGTTGGAAAAATATTTGCATGTGGAGGGAGGAGTTGGGGGAGCCGACAAGCAGGGAGTTTGTGTAGTTGAGCCTGGATGTGGTGAATGCATGGATGAGGATAATTTCTCAATCAACACAGGGAAGAACTAGAAAGCAACCTAGAGAAACAACTTTAAGACCACACTTTTATGAGCCTTCCAGTCAATCAACCGGATTTATTTCTGAAGGTATGGACAACATTGTACTACCAAGTGACTATGCATAAAAGGTTGGCAAACATCTTGTTACGTACCATCTCCAGGAGTGCCCTGTTCCACCAGAAACTGCTGTCCTTCACTCCACTGCCTCTCCAATAGCTGTTCTATGCTGGATGCAACTGGTGGTAGATTTTCTAAGATATTGTTGCTCGAGGGATCATAGCGAATTTGTAAGCCACCTGCAGGAGATCTGTTCAAAGGTTTGGATGTTCACATTAAGGTAGGAGAAAAACTACAAATAATAGTCTATATATTTCTTGTAGAATGGTTTTGTTGTAATAGGCTAGGCACACCTTAAATAGTGTCAGATAGTGGCAGAAGAGTAAATAAATATGACAAACAATTAAAAAAACACAATAAAACTGTTCTGTCAGTATTTCAGGCTCAGTGGGGAAAATGTAGTTAAGAATGACCATCCTGCTACAACTTGGCACATTTTCACTGTGCCTGACCTTGGCAAAATGTGCAGTTCTGCAGGTCTGAGGCTCACTAGCTTTAAGAATTTTTTTTGGAATGCTTATAAAAACTATTCAGTTGTTTTACAATTTGTATTTTGAGTAAAGTTAAGCAAAACAGTCCCTGTAGATAAACAATTCTTTCTTATCTAGAATAAATGATTAGGAGGAGCTCCAGTGACCCAGCATTTGCATCAAGTAGTAGCAACTCATGAGCTCGGTAGATAACACCCAACAAACTGAATTACTGATCCCAGTGGAGCCATCAGGAAAAACACCAAAGACTCAAGTGCTTCTCAAAAAAGAGAGAGGATGTGAAAGGGAACCTTGACCCTGGATTGTAGTCAGAATCCTCTTATTTGCCAGTTACATAGAAAAGATCACTGATCGAAATTGTCAACAGCTGGAAACGTCCATGAAAAATAAAATGTGTCAAAAGGATAATTATTCTTAATAATAATCCTTGCATTTGATATAGTGCCTTTATCACGTCTTTGAGACTTCTCAAAGCTCTTCACAGAATATAATGTAAAGTGAATTGACTATATTTTGTGGGTGAAACTTTACTTCTTAACAAAATAAAAAAAAGGAACAAAATGGTACCTTAATTACTATAGATAGAGTTTCTCATTCTTTGAAAATAGAATCTGATATTATCGTATGGGGAAATCATCTGGGAGACTAATCAGTTAAGAAACTTTCACCCTCAGGGGTTGAGTGATCTTTCCCCATTTTGCTAATGAATAGCCACATTCTGATGCAAGTCTTCATTTCTATTCTACTGAGGACAGACAGGCAAACAGAGGTCATTATCTCATCTGTAAGATTGGGATTTTACAAAGATGTAAAACGAATGTACAGTACGGAAACAGGCAACTCACCCCAACTAGTCCATGTCAGTGTTTAACCACAAGTGCCCACTCATTCATTACTCTCTTATATTCTCCTTTCCCTCATGTGAAGATATAACAATGCAGTAAGGCACTTATGTATCAGCCTAGACTATGAATTTATCTGGACATCTGTGGTTTGGTCAGGAAGAGACCACCTGAGGTAAGGGCTCATAGGAAGGTTGTGGTGTTGCACAAGTTTGCAAATATCACATGATCACAGGAAACTCACACTGCTTTCACCGTACACTGGAAGAAAATGCTTACTCTGATTTGAGTTCCTCTTGTTGCCCTCCTTGAAGACCAAGATCTATAAGAATTGAAAATGGCTCACCAAGCCTACTCCACTTGATAAAGGGGTGAGATAATGTTGTCTATGGTCACCCAATCTACTTGATATAATCAACAATGTGTTAGCAGGATATAAAGAGGAATCATGGGGGATACTCTTGGTATTTCTGATGAGATTAAGGCAATCTTTTTTGCCAGTAATGCTGCATCAATGGTACCCATTGGGAGATCTCATGCACAGCATGCATCTTGGATGATACTCACCATCTTGTATGGACTAACATACTCGAGTGGAATTAACTGTCAGTGATAGATTACCATTTTAAAAAGTCCACAGTGGACTTAAGGGTTAGGGAAATGCTTCACTGAATTGAAGCCAGGAGTATATCAAGAGGTTCTAGACGCAGAGAACTCTGGTGTGATCAGGAATCCACTTGATGATTCAGCCAAAACACTGAACTCACATCCAGAGTATTATACAGGTTTCAAAAATGGAAGAGTGATGGTCTAAAACAAGTGAATGATGATGGAAGGTGTCAGTGTAGATGTGATGCTCAACACAAATATTAATGATTACAGCAATGAGCTGCACCCAGAACAATGAGAATGGCCAATGTGTTAGGTCTGCCCAACAAAGGTTTCTCTCAAGATTCAAGACCCCTAGTCCTAAGGTATTTGATGTAGTGTCTCACCATGTCATTGAGATATCTCATAAGATACAAGCAATGCACAGTCTATCACTGCCACGCACCTACACGGGATTTCTTCTTCACAATTCAAGGGATGGACAGAAAATACTAACGTTGCTAACTGAAAAGCAAAGTTGTCAAACAGCAATTGAACTTTTTCTGTAGGTTATGAGACAAGTTTTAGTCTAAGTAAGCTGTTCATGAGAAAACATCAAAGGCGTATTTATCTTAGAACAGGGCTATTAAAGAGATTTGTGGAAGGAGGAGAATAAGAGAAAAGAGATCATAGGGGTACAATTTAAATAAACTTAAAAGTGATTTTTCCACGTTAGATTAAAACAATTCCTTGAAGGCATAAACAAATGAGAAATAATGCAAATTAATCGAATATTAAGAAATTGTCAATTAACTCTTAAAATTAAGCTTTCCAAAAAGATTTATACACTATCAGATTACAGTATACATAAACACAGAAAGAAGATTAAATATTTATGATCACTTTCCTATGGCTCAGTTGGAAAATATAGTACAGTAAACCCTGACATATCATTACTCCAAGGGAAAAGAGCTCAGTGATTCTATACTCAGGGTGATTTGCCTTGATTATTCCCATCTCCCTCTCAACCACCATGTCCCACATGAAGCCCATCACCTGCTGCCTCGACCCCTTCCCCACCCAGATGCTAGTCACCCAACTGCCCCTTCTCTTCCCACCGCTGTCCGACAGTCAACCAGTCGCTCTCCTCAGGTTCTGTTCATCTCCCCCTTAAAACCGCTGTCATCAATCCCCTCCTCAAAAGACCCAACCTTGACCTCTTCCTTCAACAACAATCCTTGAATTTGATATAGCTCCTTATCACATCTTCCAGATGACTCAAAGCACTTCACAATACACTGCAACACGAAAGGCAAATGTAAATTTCTACTCCTAGAGATTCTTGCCACAACAGTCAAAACAGCATATTATGCGACTGGCTAAAGGCGACCTTTTCTTGTGGTACCAGGCAGTTCTCTGAACGGCCTGGCGATGCTCTCCCACGCAAAGCTACTCATTGCGAGTTTATTGAGCCCCTGGCATGCTGTGCGGCCTGCTGAGTAGTGCAGTTCAGTTCGTTCTGATGATAGATCTGATATTTTACTTACTAGGATGTATAGAATGCAACTTTTATGTTAGTGAGGGATTAAATAAAGGAGGAATCCTTTATTCACAGTTTGCACAGTACACGGCCAGGATATTGTAAGTATGATGATAAAAGCCAAGTGATGATATAAGTCATTATTATCAAAAGTTCACTGTATCTAGTACGGTAGTGAGCCACAAGACCAGGAAGTCTCAGTTTCAAATCCCTTGTTTGATGCCAGATAAGGCGGTTAGAAGAAGATAAATTAGTCAGGATTCTTCCTTCTGAATTGTACTAAATAATACCTTTGTAAAATATTTGTTGGGGAAAAAGACAGGAATGAACTTGGCTAAAATGTCCTTTATAATTAAACCATCTCGCAGTATTCAATGTCTACAATCTCACAAGATGAGCGCTGGCAACCTAATGGCACCCTTGTAACACCAAGTGTACCAACCTCTGGAGAGGAACAGTAGAAAGCAAATTAACAAAATCCTTCCATAGTCAGTTATCTTAAGAGTATATTTACCGTGGTGAAAGACTTGCTCTTGGTGAAATACTCCTCCCAGGAAGACCGCGATTTGTGTCAACCAATTCTTGATCTAAAAAAGAAACAAACATAGCTGTTCAGATTATTGAAGTATATAGATATTACATGCTGCAAATAGATTACGTTGGTTGATCTTCCTCACACTTTGAATTCAATTAAACAACATAACTTCATCTTCATATTATTTCAGTTATTCTTGGGGTGAGGGAAAGAGTCACAATTACACAAGTCAACCTTTAAGATGCTTGACATGAGAGCGAGAAGCCAACCAGTGAGCACAATAATTCTGGAATTAATTTACTAGCCCTACACTGCATCCCTTCTAACTGAATGTTTTTTCAAAATCAGAATTTATAGTTTTTTTAAACTTCACTGTACTCTGATTCACTGTCATCTCTCTCAAGATATGACAACACTGAAGAAAATCTGTTCCTCATTAGTCCCTTTCCTTTCCTTTCTGTATACTTGCTACGATCCATTTTCATAGCCAAAGTTCTTTCCTCGGGACCTGCCTCTGACTGCAGTTCATTCCTACAGATTCCAATGTGAATTGTACTCTTTCAAGTCCATTTATGATCTCAGATCTTGAGCACTCTTGTAACCATTGCTCTTGCATGTTCATGCAACTCAGCTTCTTTTTCAAGCCTTTGTATTCTCTTGACCCCTGAAAGTCAATGATGGAGAATTGCACCCCATGTCTCACAAAGGAGAGAAATGTCATTTCCTCAAAAGAGAAGTTATAATAACAACTTGGATTTATATAAAGCCTTTCATGCGGGGTAGTAAACCGGGATACTTGAATAATAATAGCCCTTCAATTTGATATAGCACCTTTCATATCAAAAGGATGTCTCAAAGCACTTTACAGGATTCACTGTAGTGTAGTGACTATTTTGGAGGAAAATTGAAGAGATCAAGACATAACGATACATCTTGAACTGTGAGAGGAATGATTGGCAGATATACAATCAGAAGGAATTTATAAATCTTCACTGAAGATTATAATTGAATTGTTTAATTTAACCCAGGATCTAGCAAGAGACAACAACTTGCATTTATATAACCCCTTGTATGCAGGGAAGAGTCTTGGAGTGTTTAAGGAGTTAAACGCCAAGCCAGGCAGAGGTGAGCATAGGCACGGTTGAAGAGGAATATCTTCAAGTGTAATCTGAAGACAGCTAAGGAGGGGGAAAAGTGGAGAGCTTGAAGAAGCGAGTTCCAGAGTTTCTATGCATAGTGGCTGAAAGCACTGATGCTGATAGTGGAGAGAACACAATGGACATGCCATTCAAGTGACCAGAGACAGCTGAGCAAAAGGGGTGGGTGAAGGAGTGGGTAGAATCTGGGGGCACTGGCGAGGTCCGGCGACCTTGTCTCTATGTTAGGCCGGTAAGGTACAAATCTATAGTAATCTACCACACTATCACACCACTTTAACTTCCTTTCTGATAAAAATGGTGCTGTTTTAAAACAAAAATCTGCATTAGTAATTTGTAGGTCATTGAGTGAATAGAAACTAATAAAAGCACTCGAGAAGGAGATGTATTTATCTAAGTGATGGCCCTCTTTTCAATTTCAGACAAGAAGGTACTCAGCTACCAACAGTTCATTATTCTCAGGTAACTGGAAAGTTTAAATAAAACACCAACCAGCTATTTTGTTTTTGGTTAACTTGAATTTTGACACCTGAGAATTGGGGAAATCTATCACCATGCTTAAGAGTATTTAAAGCAGACACAGGATTCCACATGCGAACACCGACTAGGCATGGAAATTCCTGTGTGCTTGGAATGAAGTATACACACTCACTGGAAGGATATACCCTGCTTACACAATATTGGGAATTATTAGACGCAGAGCCAAAGATTTGGGACTCCAGAGTGTGCATTGGGATAATTTTGGAATTTAACCAACTAAAACTTCATGGATTGCATTACAAGTACCGACAGGCAAGCTTCCCACTGCTTGTCCATCTAGGACCACTTAGGATTTTGGCTTGCAGGGTTAAAAATCCTTGCCCCCAGTGTATAATAATAAGCATTACATTTGTTACAGTGCTTTTAAATTCAGGAGGACATCTCAAAGCCCTCAGAGGGTTTAATGTGAAGTGCAGTTAACGACTGTATATTTTGTAAGTGAACATGGCGGCAAATGATCCACAAACGGTCAAGAAGTGAATGACCAATCTTATTTGGGGGAGTATTGGTCATGACACCAGGAGAAACTCCCTTTTTGTTACCAAATAGTGCCATGGGATCTTTAACTTCCACCTAAACAAGTAGGCATGACATTAGTTTCTCACCTCACCTGAATGCACAATGCAGCACTTCCACAGCATTGTATTGATGCGTCAACCTAAATTATCTGAGTTAAAAGCCTTGACAAGGAGCTATTTTATGCACAATTTGTTTTTTTTATTTATTTGACAATAATAAATATTGTCTGGTCCCAGTGCGGATATTAATGTACATTCAACTAAGACAGGAGAACTGAGAGGAGCTTCTTATTGGTACCTGGGGGTTGTGGTGGAAACCGACTTTTGCTTGGACACTGTCCTGAAGGACAATTAAGACAAGGGGCAAAGGGCATTCTGGTCGTGCTCATCTGTCAAGGACAGCAAGGTCCCAATGCAGGTAAAGCTAGTGGCATGCAAAACCTGCGTTTAAACAATCTTCCTTTAATGGATCTGAGCTCCTCGGGATGCAAAAAAAGAGGGGTTTCCTCCTGCTGATTTGCAAATTGCAGGATCAAACAGCTAAGTGAATGTGTGGCAAACACAGGAAGCAGCTGCAGGGAGGGAGAGCTCTGGCCTACACTGATCTGTCGCTGAGCACCCTGGAGGCAGATTCACAGGGAACACGTGTATTCGTTAAGGCTCGTCATACGAGAACCTGGATTGAGTAGCCAGTGCTGAAGGCAGATGTCCATCAGATAATTCCTGAAGAATCTCTTGAGTCTTGGGGTCAACAGCCGCTGGGTGGCGTTACTTGGAGCCTGAATTTGTGAATGTGTGTTCATAAATCGAGGACTTGTGGAATTCATTTTGATTGGCTTTCAGAGAGGTAAGTAGCTGCGACTCAAGCTACTCACTTCCAACTGGTGGAACCTACGCTGAATGGGAAGCGATGTGTGTCAGAGTCGTGTGCAGGATGTTGGTGCTAATGCTCTCATCCTGAGCTGGTTGCCTACCAGAAAGCGCGCAGGGATTTCCTGGTACCTGCCAACCACCTAGTGAGGGCTCAAAGCCCTTGAAGCTGAATGGCTCCAAGGTGACATATTTGGCAACAGAATGTCAGAATCAAGTCACTAGTTCCCAAGTCAAGCGGGTCCCCAGAACTCCAGGATACTGGTAATGATAGACCAGGCGATCTGGCAAACTGGCCCTTCCTGATTTGGAATGGCAAACCAGTCACAGGAGGCAGGGACACTTCCCACTTAGTTCCCATTAACCCTGCAAGTCAAAGCCCTAAAGGTGGTTCAAGCAGCAGGAAAACTTGCCAGTCAATCTTTCAATGACAAGCTACCGTTTTTAGCTGGTTGGACTCCAGCAGTATCCCAACACACGCTCTGGGATACCCAAACCTTGGCTCTTGCCAACCTGCACCTAATATTCCCTGGAATTAGGTAGGCAGGATGCTTCCTTCCAGGGAGAGAATGAGCATTCCATTCCAATAAATATCTCTGGCATTTCCATGTGGAGATAGGACGCATGGAATTCGATTTGTTTGAATACTCTTAAGCATGGTGATGGGTTTCCCCATGTGTCAGACACACGGCTGCCCCAAACAAATTCAACTGGAATTCATCATTTAGAATGATGTGAGATGATAATCCATTTTTTGAAATTAAGATGGGTTGTTCGGCTAAGGTGAGACAATGCCAATGAAAATCAAAAGATTGCTTTAGTTGACGATTGAAAATCAAATGGCCCAATAGATTTATGCTGCAACAGACAAAATAATTTTCAGCAACTGAAACTGCGCTAGTTTTATATCAATGGGAACACAATTCAATGACAATTCAAACTGAACCCAGTATCAAAACAAAGCTGACATTGAAACAACAGAAAGTGATCTCCTCAAAGAGAAATTTCCCCTTGTGATTTACAAATGTATTGAATGATGGGCAATACCGTACTGAATGTGAACACTGAATGAAAGAAAAATGCCGCAAAAATAATGTGTGCTTTCAGTTAGATATGTATCTGAGATACACATACAACTGAAAACCCTATTTTAGAACATCCGAGACCTATTTTACAACAAATAATGCAAGTTCAATAACAACAACTTGCTATGTAGTGCCTTTCATGTGGGGGTGCTTAACAGTGGCAGAGCTTGATGCTGAACCAGGGAGAGGGGAGGTGACCATAGGCATGGTTAAAGAGGAAGGTCTTCAGATGCGACCTGAAACAGGCACAGATTTCCAGAGTTTGAAGTTCAAATAGTAACAATCTTTGCAAAGTGGTATACATGCAAAGGCATGTTCCTCTTCCTCAAAGGGAACATGAAATGGGTACTGGATACTCAGCTCTCCAACATGGTGCAGATTGTTTCAGAATATGCCAATTAGGACCTCCCCTGTTGCATACGTAATACCAAACATAAACTATGGTTCACTGAAGAGGTGTCAAATTTTCAGTGATCAGTGACATGATCACAGAAAATTCTGTAGAGGTAGAGAAGCCAACATCCATAGTAAACAGACCATTTCAGGAAGTGAGGAAACAATGATTGTTGACATGAAATGAAGGCTTGATAATTTCTTTTAGAATGCCCAGTTAAAAACAAGATTAAAACATCCTATATATAATAAATAAGTAACAAAGGCCCTTTACTATTCCCTATGGGACAAAACCAGCATACATCAGATCTCTCCTCTGCAACAATTAAGGTAGACTATAGTGAGCAACCTTGTGCCCTTTACTTGGTCAGTCTATTCCCAAACCAGATAATCTTGGGGAATAAAATTTGAATGTGTGGAATGGACTGGCAATTACAGGATTCCAAGAGATCTGATCTATCTGATCTACTAGCCCTAGGACACTGTCGGGGGCAGGGTTACCTCATGTGCTGCATTGTCCCTGGACTTCAGGTTATGATGTGGACTCACTCCTGTATCTGTGGTCCCTACACCCCAGTAGAGGTCAGTTATCTGGTCTTCCAAGATGGCCTTCCAGCTTTTGAGATCCTCCTGCTACAAAAATTAGTGCAGAATAATCAGGATTCTACAGGAGAGATCTTAGGTATTGTCATAGCCAGAGAATAAGGCCAGATAAAATGTGGTCTTTAATCCAGGTAAAGATCTCAAGTACTAGGACTGCGTGTGTGTGGGGGGCGGAGAAAGAAGAGGCAGAGAGAAAAACTCACTGCCTAATCTGTTCCACTAAAATAACAAAAGTTGAAACAGCAAGATCAAGCGATAGTATGTGTATGTGTCTAGGGGGGGCTGAGAAAAATTGGTATTTGTATTTACACAAGGTTCATTTATTTGTATTTAAAGCAATAGTGATTCAATTTACATGTTAGGTCCAACCTCTTGGCAGGCTATTTTCATGAATGTAATTGAGCGTCTGTAACCAATCCCAGCCATTCTTTTTTCAGTATGAGCTGTTTACTAGTAAAGAACCCAATTTGGCCCCTTCCTGGTGTTTCCCTTGAACTATTCTGAGTCACGTGACCCCCTGACCTCTCCTTGAAGCCAGAGGCATGACCGATTCATTCTGGTTAAATTGCCTAGTCCCCATCCCCCAGGAGGAAGGGGGCGGAGTATAACTTCTTTGAGATCCAACAGATTCTTTGGGAAAAAAATGAAGCAGTCACTCCATTTCATCATTAAAAAGTACCTTCATATTTGAAACATCTTAAATAAATATCAGTATTGAAGGGTGGGAAAGGGTTGAAAGGAACAGATTTTCTACTTTTAAAATTGAAGTTCCTCTCGTAGGTTACGATCTTTGACATACAAAGTAATCTAATACAGTTGCATGAACAATAAAAAAGGAGCTCAGCCCATTCATGACAAAACATAGTGGCGTGTTCTTATTCACTGCACAAAACGAACAGAATTGAACACATCAATCATTTGAGCCACAGGAGACGCTGCAGCATTCCAGCGTACCAATAACTTTAGTCAAACATTTACACTTTAGGCAATGAAAAATGTACAATAATACTTTATAGCAACAAAATTTAACACATTTTTCTTCTGTCAACAAAATAATTTGTTGAAAATGAGGATATCAAAAAATGTTCCAGTAATTTGCTTCTCTGAACATAAAATACATGCAAGAAATAAGGCAGGACCCTCAAAATAGTTTGGTTTCATGAAATGCTCCTAAAATATTGGTTCATTGAATGTTATAATTGGAGGCAACAAAATTCCTTCCATACATGACAAAGAGAGGTGGGAAAAAGACAATGATTCACTGAATCAGCTAAACAATTAAATCAAAAGGGGGTGGGGGGGGATTCTATGCCAACTGTAAATTGACGACATTCTCACTCTTGTATTTTATTCTTGCCACTTTAAAACATAGCAATATTTTCAGAATATTTGGAACGGCACTACTACCTAAGATTTGTTCAATAAACTCAAGACAATAATATTTTATATGGAAACAGCAATGCCTGATCACATCAGATTACATCAGTAGTGGAGCACCACAAATTGAGACTTGTGCTCTTATGCTAATAAAACAAATAAAACAGATTAAAAACAAATACAAAGTTAATCCTTTTCATGTTTACTTAAGCGGATTGGATTGTTTCTTCATAAAAAACAAATAAAAATTGGGCGGTTGACAGCCAGAGGGCCAAAAAAAGTACAGTACAATATATACATTATATAATGCTTTTCACATTGAGAGGATGTCTCAAAACACTTAATATTGCTGGATGCGCACCCAACCTGGAGATCAAAGCCAAAGGGCTAAAATGACTAAAACCAAAGTCAAAGAGGCAAGTGTGGAGGTGGACTTTGAATGCGGGGAGGGAATCGGAAAGACTCTCGGATGGAGTTCCAGAGAGTGGGGCAGAGTGGCTGCAGAGTAGATAGGATGGGGCGAGATCGTAGGATGGGGCGAGATCGTAGAGATTTGAAGACAAGAATGAGAATCTAGAATTTAGCCTGTTTGGGGATGGGGAGCCAATGGAGCCTAGCAAGGAAGGGGGTAATAGCCTCACAGAGCCTGGTGCAGTGTGAATTTAATTATCAAACGGCCAGAATGCCTCACTTCATATATGATATTTGTTGAATTGTTTAACAAGAAAAATCTGTTTTGAAGTAAAGAAAATGCATCATTGGTTTAAATGAGTCACTGGACTCATTCCAGAGCTTAAACACAGATTGATATGCTTTTCATGATAACTTTCACTTTGGGAAGACATCTCAAACCACTTCACAGGATTTATTGCAAAGCGTAGCGATAATGAAAATGTAGACAAACTCAGCAGGTAATTTGCGCACAGCAATGATATGAACAACCAATTATACCTTGGAAATTGTTGGCCAGAAATAAACTTTTTTTTAAAATAGTACCATGTGATCTTTAACAATCGCCTAAATTGGCAGACAATACCTTGGTTTAGCATCTCATCTGAAGGATAGCATCCTCAAATTCTCACAATTTGGATATTTCTGGCATTTCCAAATATTGAAATCTTGATCAGAAAAAGTATGCTTTTTGAAGCTGATAATGTTCCTGCACTCACAATGGACTCTTGAATTTACATTAAGTGCTGTATTATGTTAGTAACTGTGTATCGAGTTGTCAAGTTTTGCAATGTCATTTTTGCAATCCTCAGTTGGAACAAATATTTTGAAATCATCATCCAGAATGTATATTTCACAACTTGTAAGAAATGGAAGAAATAATGTTCGTGGAGGGGGAGAGTAAAAATGGAGAAGTGTAATGTGTTATATATGTTGTTGATAAAGGCAGTGGAAACAACAACAAATCTGCCCCCAAAATCCACGATGTTGGTTCGACCTGAAGCCACGCGTGGCAGTTTTTCCACTTTCAGCACACGAGGTGCAGCAATTAAGGGTCTAATTCTGGTGCTCCTCGCCCCAAAAGTTAAATGGCCCCCAAAGGTAGCTTCAAGTCCAACCATCGTCAGAGTGAGGTTTCACACTTTCAGAGCAGCCTTCAATAATTAACTGTCTCAACCACATTTATCAATTGGTAATAATTATCACTTGTGGTAATTCATAGATTTGCGCCCCCAGTTAAGAGATACTGATCAAAATAATTTTAAAAATATATTATTCGATCAGCGAGTTACTTCTGACATAAGGTGGGTTAAAATTCATTCCTTTTTTCTATAAACAAAAAAATCTACCTGGTCATCCACTTAGCTATTATCAACAGTAATCTAAACAACAAAGTGTAGTACTGAAGAACAGGCTTTTGTGCTAAATTTATAAAACAAGTTCTGTATCTGGATGATAGAAAAATCTATTGAATAATAATTAGCTTAATTTCGGGTTTTACAAAATTATTGAAAGAAAAAGAAGATTAAATATAAATGCATGTTCCTGTCTGAATGTTTTCAAAATTTTGCACATTCAAAGATAGATTTTAAATATTAAAACTATTTAAATGTAGATGCACAAGTTTGCGCATTGAAAAGCGGATTTTAAATGGTCAACAGTAACTGGAGCAGTCTTCAGGTTCTTCCCAGCGATACACACAATTCTGTCCTGTCATTTAAGTACTGTAGTTCTAGAAATTTCATATTTTAAGTTACCAGAGATTAATGAAACGTATACTGTAAATTATCATTTTATATAAAACCCGATCCAGTTCATTATTAACCTCAGAAGAGTGGGGGTAATCCATCTCTACTTCCACCTGATAATATGAGTGCATTTTGACTGCTTATGGCAGGCAGTAAGAAGTCCTTTCCATGTTCTTACCTGCTTGATTGGTTTCAGACTGTGCTATAAGAGCTGCCATCGCAGAGTTGGGATTTAGTCGATTCCCAAACATGTGAGAAGGAGCGAGATTAAATGAAGTTCCAGGTAGGGCATTTGCCTATTGGAGAGATAATACAGCAGAGTTAGAACCATAATACATTAAAGAAAATATATTAGAGATGAACAGAAGTATTTTTTCTTTCATTTTAAGATGGCTTGTTCCAGGATTTCATCCCAGTGCAGACGCAGAAGATCTACAAAGGACTGTATCAAAGTTCACGTTTCTGCCTGCTCCTCTTAACAAGGAAAATTCCTGAACTCTACAGTGCTTCTGTAGGGGAGTGTTGACACAGGGAAGGAAAAAAAGAGCCCAATCCCACCCCAAGTCACTTTGTACACCACCTAGTATTCAATTATGCAGTAACATTAGTGGATGCAAAATAGGTATTCCTGGCTGACAAGACAAGCTGAAAGAGTGGCACAGTGAGTCAAATTGAAGGAGCCAAAAAAGCTACTGTTTTGTTCCATAATCTTTGTGTTAGGAATTATTTTGATGTAAGAAAAGCAAAACTGCAATGTTAAATAAACAACTAAAAATGGGTTTGAACAATCACAGGAGCTTGTGCAACCCTCATGTTCTATTCCGAGTGCACCTTCATGTTCTGTGAATTGTTTAGTAGTTCTAGAAACTTTGTTCATATTTTAATGAACAACAAAACAGTAATCCATCAAACATATGCTGTAAAACCTCACATTGCATACAAAACCTGGTTACATAAAGTTTATTATAAACCTGGATACATGCATGATGTGATAATTCTTGCATTAAAGTGGGGCCTTTCATGTCAGCATGAAGGCTCAATGCACTTCACAGGATTTACTGTTAAGTGTAGTGAATGACTACATTTTTTGTCGGCAAACGATGAAGCCAATTTGCACACCCCAGTGTCCCACAAACAGCCGTGAAGTGAATGATCAATTTTATCTGGGGAATTGTTGGCCACGATACCGGGAGAAACTCCCTTCTCTTTTCAAATAGTGCAAAGGGACCTTAATCTCCAAAAACAACACATTACATTTGTATAGGGACTTCCATAATATAATAATCAAAATAATATAACGAATAAGACAATGAAATTCTATTAGCTCAGGAAAATTTTGGATTACTATCCAGTGAAGTGTACACTGCTGCAAAGCGTACACATAATCAGTGGTTGAGGGCCCTATTAGCCTCAGCAGTCAAAATCGCCTGCCAAAATTCATTGCTTATCCAACATATAATTATCCAGGTAAGATAAGGGGCTGCAGTAACCGTGGAAAACTGCTCTTAGCGCACATCAATCCAGTCTTTAGAACAGAGAAACGAAAATGCTCAAGTGTATAGTTTTTAAGATGTTCATATACAGAAGGATTTTGCATATTAAATTTAGGATAAGGATTGAAGGGTTAGAATTCACCCATGTTCACGTAGAATGGGGTGGGCATGGGGCCTGGGGAAAGAGGAAGAATTGCAGCCTATACATCTGTGAATGGAGCTGTGTATGTATCTATATATATATATATATACACACACACACACACACACACACACACGTTATTCGCACGGCAATTATCTGCATGCCTGTTTAACTACATCACGCTCCAATGAATGGTGAGGCTGATGCCAGCAAAAATAAAATCTAGTCGTACACAAAGATTTACCAAAAACTATACAGCATGGAAAATCCACTTGGCCCAACTAGTCAATGTCACAGATCTATTAAATTTGTGTGCATGCAAGATTGCTAGGGAGAAGGAAATATTACCAGTGGTACTTTTCACTACTTTGCAGATTATCACATTTTTATGCACCAGAGTGAAAGTAAATGTTTAGATATATCAAATGCAAGGAAAAATGCAAGGATTATTATTCACTTTTATACAGTGTAAAAGAAAGACAAATGCAAAAGGAGAGTCGGAGTGAGAGGAGAGAGGAGAAGGAATGAAGCTGGTCCAGTCTGCCAATAACAGCATAACTCCAGATAAAACCTCTTTTTAGGTGGTACTGTAAAAAATTTGCATTAAGACAAATTATCCACACGCACCACACACACATACTGTGTACTGAGAAGATGCGGCTGCGCACTGAAGGAAGAGAAGTGCCTTCATACACAGTGCTTCACCAGATGCACCTATGCACACGGAGAAGAGAGAGAGCAACCGTGCACAATTGACACACCGGGACGATGCTGACAGCGTGCGAGAGATAGAGAAAACCATCTCGGAGTTTTGTTAGGACAGGCGTTTCCAGTTTTTTTTTTTTTGCAAAGGGAATGTATTAGTGGGTTTTCTTGGTTAAAACTGAAAATCAGAAAGCCCTAAATATGATATACTATAAAGGCAACCAGTTCAATCCTGATGAAAGTCATCCCCACAATATTATTCAAAGATTTTCTTTTAGGTGGAGAATAATATGCTGTGAACTTTCAGCAGCATTTGTGTTCTTATTTAGAACTGAGGTATCTCATATGCCAGCTATACCTCAAGACACCAAATTAATGTGGTTTCTGTAAAAATGTTTTTGGACTGGCACCAGGACCGAGGAATTCATGTCACTGAACGCATTCACAAATGTCCAACTAACCTTCACCAAATTTCACTTAATTTCTAATCTATTATTAAATAGCTGGGAATACTGACTCAGTAACATTGAGAGCTTTAAAAATGGTCCAACCGATCACTCAGGAACTTCTGAACTATTATTAAGTTCAAAAGTTGGCCCTGTACCAGCTGGAGTCAGACCAAAGTTGAAATGCAGCCATGCACATTGATTCATTTATGAAACAATCTTGCATATGCAATTTTGTGAGAAACATGCCAAAATATCAGCTAAACTAGTTATACTGTACTTTTATTTGTAGAGTTACAGATGCAAGCAATTGTATACTTTGGAGATTCAATTTGATTCAACAAGCAAAACCACAGCAAAAATTAACTGGCATTCTGTTCAGTCTAAACAATTCCATAAAATTGGTACATGTTACAAACAAAGCTGGTTTAAAACTGCAAAGCCAATAAAGAAGATGTTAGGTATTTATAAACAAATACCTAATTGATACTGAAAATATTTTGAAGCTAGTAGAAAATAATAACAGATTCATGAACTTTGAATGGGAATTATAAATTTACGAAGATTTAAATATCCACATTGCCTTTGTAAAAAGATTGTTCTTTAAACAAATGGTGCCAAACAGTAGTTTTGTAACACTTAAGCAACACCTACCCTGAACAAATCGAAATTATACTCCGTTCAAGCATTGAGAAAGTATGCAATAGAAGCTTCCAGTTTTCATTCATGCCCCATGTGTGCAGTCTAGTAACACATACTGCAGATTTAGCAGCATGATGACCATGTGGTAATCCTACTAATTATTTAATCTTATTAAACCATTTACTAAATAAGGGCAGGTAGACAACAGATGTCTCAAATGCTCAAATCTTCCACATCACAGGCTGTTTGCAGAGGTCAAAAGGTCCTACTTCCATCTCCAGTTTAGCAACTAAAAGCCACGTTTCCTTTGCTATGCTCAATCATTAGCAAACCTGCAAATCATTCCATTACTTCCTTTTCTGATGAAGTTGGATCTCAAACAAGGCTTTTCTGGGCGCAACCTGGCATCACAAATATGCATTTTTCACAATATAAGGCTAAACATAAATCACAGCTCTACTGTGACCCTGTCTAAGTAACTGTAATTTTGGCAGTCGGCCAATACTACTACTAGAGAGCTGGTCCAAAGTTTGTATTCATTCATGTTGCAAACCACAATTCTGAAGGCCTCTGCTGGGAATGAGCCAAACAAGCAAAAATGAACTGAACAGATCAAGCAGCACTTGCTGGCCAAATTCTTGCATAATCTAGCTTGCCTTTCGCGAGCTACATTTGTCCACAATCCAAGGAAATTACTTGTATTAACCAGTTCATACAAAGCAAATTCTTAATGCAAAGTGGTACTGCATAATCGTATTCAAAAACAGCTAGAAAGGCATTACAAAAGTGTTATCGATAACTTTTTAAAAAAGACAAAGCTAGTATTACAACAAAATCTGTTCTAAGCGTTTCCATATGAACACTTTCCATTGTAATTTCATTTCTTACGTAAATATAAAATCACTGAAGCTTTTAAAAATCTGCCAGGCAGTTTGGACTTTATTACACATCTTTATTTTTTTCACAAGCCAAAATGTAATATTTTAAATAGTTTAAACTATTAGTTTGATTTTTTTCTTAAAGCGAATAAGCTTCTGGTTGTTAATTTTTCCATGTGCTGAAAATCGAACCCAAATGTTTATATGCTGATATATTTTGGGTTACTTTACATAGCATCTTTATTTTATATAAAGTCTATAGCACAGTGACATTTTTTTCTATAATTGTTCTTATTTTTTCCATTGTTCAGCTTCTATTCTTACAAATGCCCTTATTTCTTATTTCATCCACCTTTTCATTCATTTAGCCTTTCTAATGGCCAGTCCCTTTCTTTCCCATATTCTTCTCTCCTTAATGCTTTTAGCAGTACGGAGACTCTTCCATCAGCCACAGCCATTTCATCTCCTGCTATTGCTTATTTGACAGGACCCATTACCACTATTCCATTCACTGCCCATCTGGGATATAATGCAAGATCCTCGCGAGAGTGCAGATGTCAGCAATGAAGCAGGCAGGAGGAATGCAAGAGGATCAAGGAGGTGTAGATTTGGAAATAGGGTTTATTAGGAGATTATGGATAGCCAAAAAAACATATTCGCAACCAATTGTTAGGCTACACAGCATAAGTCAAAGCGATGGTTCGCACAGATCTTAGGATAAATGGAGTTAAATATATATAAAAAACAAGTTAAATACTAATAATTTTAAAAATAAGTCCTGACATCATGTCTACAAATTATTAGTTATTTAAAACTTGTTGTTGCGTAAATGTTACTGCACTCTGTGTGAGTCAAGAGGCTTTTTTAAAAAATAACTTTAAGCAAGCAAAAATACTCTAGAAGCCAATGAAAATTTCATTCACTGTTTTCAATAGTGAAATGCTCGTTAAATTTCAAATAAGGAGCAAATTAATCTAATTTTTACAAATT